CTCAACTTGCACTTGATGTGAAGTAAACGATGCACGAACGCGTAGATAGCCGAGAGAGAAAGGGGGACGGGAGGGGAAGGAGAAATTCCCGATGGTGAGAGAACGATTTTATATATGCAGCTGTCTCAGCGCGCCGAATGTTATCGTCCTCACGTCTTCGTCATCGTTGTTATCTCTTTGATTCCATACGCAACTCGTCAGCGAGACGCTTTCGCGAGACGTGGTGCATAATGCGCGTTGCAAGGGCGCATCAAGGTACATGAGAATTGTATTCGCATTACGAGTCACATAGGCAACGGTTAATCGCATTACTCGTATTTTCAGGAGGGACGTGAAATATTTGTGTGTTGAAACGCACAAGACGCATAATTTGTTACAATTTCTGTAAAATTCGAGATATATTATAAATTTAGAGAGAATTGCCTTTCATTTCCTTTTTTTGTCACGGAAAGATCTCTCGCAAATTGCTAACTTTTTCGATCTATTACGATTATCTTAAGCGTTATACCTCTTGATCAATCAGATAAAATTTTATTAATCGAGAGAAATAATTTTTTGTTTGTTTTATTTTATTTTTTTTATTTGTTGCATTTGCTGCATCTGTATTACATTAGTAGTGTCGGTCCACAATAAGTTGAAAGATATCTATTAGATTCGGAAAAATTAACGGAGACCGACTGGATTTGAGAACTCGGGATCCCTCGTCTACCAATCCGACACTTAGTCTGCACGACCACGACGGCTCCTCTCTGTTAGCTGTTTATATTCCGAATCTCTTTCATGACCGCTTACGGTCGTCTAATTCTTACAAAGTATTTAATCTTTAAGCCGTAAGAAATTGACCAATCATAGTCGATTATTTTTTTCATATTCGATTATAATTGGTCAATTTCTTACGTCTTAAAGCTTAAATCACCTAGAGTGGACCGACACTTACAGCTGGTCAACATTCTATTACGCTTTATTATTTAATTTTCTTTTTATCTGCCGCATCTGTTTTTTGCATTAATTGATCAACATTCCTTTACTTTATTTAATTAATAATATTATGTGACTGCTGCTCCATTATCTCAATTATTATTTTTCTCAGTTTGTGCCTCAATATCGGCGATTGGGAGAATACGCGGTTTTAACACACCTTGCTTTTACGAGAAGATTTTCATCCATGCCATAAAGAAAGGAAGGGGAAGAGAGAGAGAGAGAGAGAGAGAGAGAGAGAGAGAGAGAGAGAGAGAGAGAGAGAGAGAGAGAGTAGAGAGAGAG